GACAGGATACCAGCTCTGGAGCCAGAATGCTGCGTTCAGACTCTAGCTCCCGCACTGCTACTGTGTGACCTTAAGCGGGTTCCATATCTGCTCACCGTCTTAGTGTCCCCCTCTGAAAACATCTGAGATAACAACAGCATCTTCCCCACAGCATTGTTGTGAGGATCGAATGACTGCAAGTGTGCCCACTTCAGTGTCTGGCACACAGGAACATAACATTAAATTTAAAAAAAGAAAAACCCAAAACTGGGAAGCTGAGGCCGGGAAATCGCTTGAACCCAGGATGCAGAGGTTGCAGTGAGCCGAGATCGCGCCACTGCACTCCAGCCTGGCGACAGAACGAGACTCTGTCTCAAGAAAACACAAAACAAACAAACAAACAAAAACCCTAAAACCTTTAGCTGTTATTATTACTACCTGAGGCCACCCCTCTCCTCCATTCCCTTACTGCATTTATTTATCCAATCTTATGACTACTTTCTACCTTATTTATTTTAGATATCTATACACTAGGAAATTCTTAGTTTGGTATACACAGATAGTACAGGGCCACTGAACAAACAAATGAACAAATTCTAAATAATCACTCTTTTAGTCTGTCCACAAGAAAACTCACATTTAATGTTGAAGAAAGATAAAGAAAAGATTAAAGAAACAGAACTTTAAATCAAGAACAACAGTTCTCAAAGTGAACCAGCAGCTTCAGCATCACTAGAGAACTTGACAGAAATGTAGAATGCTAGTTTCTACCCCAAATTTACTGAAACAGAAACGCTGAGAGTAGGCTCCACTTTTAACAAGCCCTCCTGGTGATTCCCTTGAGGCTGAATCATGAGATCTGAGAGCAAAAAGTAACATACATGGCAGCACAGAATGAGCACTGGCCCAGGAGTAAATTCTAGGCTTACCTGTGGCATTGACCTTGTACCAGTCTCTTAACTTCTCAGAGCCTCAGTTTCCTTATGTGACACGCGGATGATAACACCCAAATAGCTAAATGTTGTGAGAATTAAATGAGATTCCATGTACAGAGTTTGTATATAGTTGGCACTTAATAATTATAAGTTCCTTCCAGTTCTCTTCCTGTGTATCTCACAAGATTGTGAACAGTAAATAAAATCAGTGAAGCAAAAGGGCTTTGCAAATACTTGCCCTTGAATATCAGACTCCAAGTTCTTCAGCTTTGGGACTTGTCCTGGCTTCCTGGCCTCTCAGCTTGCAGATGGCCTATTGTGGCACCTCATCTTGTGATTGCGTGAGCCAATACTCCTTAATAAACTCCCCTTAATACATACATCTATCTTATTAATTCTGTCTCTGTCCTCCTAGAGAACCCTAATACAGATCGGGCACGGTGGCTCAGGCCTGTTATCCCAGCACTTTGGGAGGCCAACACGGGCAGATGATGAGATCAAAAGATCAAGACCATCCTGGCCAACATGGTGAAACCTGTTTCTACTAAAAATACAAAACTTAGCTGGGCGTGGTGGCACATGCCAGTAATCTCAGCTACTCGGGAGGCTGAGGCAGGAGAATCACTTGAACCCGGGAGGTGGAGGTTGCAGTGAGCCAAGATCGTGCCACTGCACTCCAGCCTGGTGACAGAGCAAGACTCTGTCTCAAAAAAAAAAAAGACCCTAATGCACATGGCAATCTGAGGCACAACTAATTATTCTTGGTATAAATGGCCAGGTTAAACATCTACCATTCATAGGATAGTCTGAAGTAGTTTATGTGTAACACCACTCAGTCTACAAACAAACTCTGCAACAGAATATCTGTTTCTTCCCTGTTTATTAAAGCAGAACAATGGTGAGAATACATGCCCACCACGCCCAATATTTTGATCAGAATTAACTAACTAGACACCGATCTTTGAATCTAAACTTTACTCTTAGAAAAGGATTTTCTGAAAACTTTTTTTAGCCAACACAAGGAAAACTGCAAACTTCTGCAGACCACAGTGGACCTGACTTGGCGAACTCCCCATGTATGAGATCCAACTCCAAGCAGTTGTAGAAGGCTAAGACTATGGCAGTTAACATTTTGAAGGTTGTTGCAGAACAGAAAATTAAGAAATACAAGTAAGTACTCTTTCTTCCTCTGCACTTCTTAGCCTCTCACACCTTGGCTAGGCTTACTCTCTCTCTCTTTTTTTTCTTTTTTGGAGATAGAGTCTCACTCTGTTGCCCAGGCTGGAGTGAAAATGGCACAATTGCTGCAACCTCCACCTCCTGGTTCAAGTGATTCTTCTACCTCAGCCACTGAGTAGCTGGGATTATAGGCATGTACCACCATGCCCAGCTAATTTTTGTATTTTTAGTAGAGCCGGGGTTTTGCCACGTTGGCCAGGCTGGTCTCAAACTCCTAGCCTCAGGTGATCCCCCCACCTCGGCCTCCCAAAGTGCTGGGATTACAGGCGTGAGCCACCACAACCCGCTTACAGCTGCAGTTTTTAATCATTAGCTTTGTTGTTGTTACTTTATTTCTGTATTCCCCTTCCCTCCCTCCCACCAGCGCACTACCCGCACCGCCCCCCCGCACATTCTTTTAAAATAGTACTAACACACTAAATGTCACGAGAAAGTCACTTTGACACTTTGTCACAACAGTACAAAATATACATTAGAGCCTCATTCTATCCATTAATCATTTACCTGAACTAAACTGAAATGACCTACTGGCTACCTGGCAATGGGGAGCCATCATCGTCTTTAGAGTCAAGCATCTTTTGTGAACCCTGGGGCCCGGTAGGGTATCTTCCTTCACAGGTCACAGACGGGCCAGTTGTTTCACATACCCTCTCCAGATAGAAAATCCAACCCGAACTTAAAGTATTCTGTTATTAACAGTGGCAGTTTCGATTTACTGAGCTTTTACAATGTTCCAGATACTATGCTAAGTGTTTTCATACATTATCTCATTTAAGCTGCATTACTCTGTGAATATGAATCAATCTCCCTCCCTCTCTCTCTCTCTCTACTGATAGACTAAACTTCAGATAGGCAATACAATTTTCTGGGGTCACACAGCCGGGCAATGGGCCAAGTCAAAATTCAGCTCAGGTCTTCATGGCAGAAGTATCATGCTCTTACCACTTGCTACATATCCCTACATCCCTTGTATTTGTATTTTAAATTAACTTCTAACCCTCGACTACTACCTTGTTATTTTGCAGGTGTAGAGGTTCCTAGTATAAAGGGGACAAAAAAGAAAACCACTCCCCCAAGTTTTCTGGTCCCTCCATTAATTGGCTGGAATTCAACATCCAGCTGAACAATGAGTTTTTGGAATGTGGCTGCCATGCAGGAGCATCTGAGGAAAGTGGGGAGAGGACATGAAGAAGAAGAAAGGAGGTGAGAATCCAGACGCTCCGCTGGGTTGCAAGGGACAAGATGTCCAAAACATGGGAAACATTCTTTTGGCATTATAAAAGATACTACACCAGCAAGTAAAGCAAGGCTCCTAAATGCTAATTTGCCAACAGGAGAGATCTCAGTAAGTTTACAGGCCCCACTAAAGGCTTGACAGTAAGCTAGAAATTCATAAGCAAAGCAGAAAATAAACAATCACTACTGCCGAAATCAGGCCCATAAGAACACCAAAGATCCTGGCTCATAAAAGACGTTTTACCAGTCCTTCAACCAACCAGGAGGAACCCAGTTTTCAAACAAACTAATCAGCATTCTTGACATAAGCCACTGCCTTGGGTGAAAAGGCAAGTTGCTTTTTTAGTAGGGAAGTCCCACACCATGGCCATTTCCGGTATTACTTTACCTACACTTTGGGCTTTCCTTATCCAGGATTCTGGCCATCTCTGGTGTCCCCAGGTGTCCAGATCCCCCCTATAGGATTAACAGATAAGGCTGGGTACCATTCTCTCTACTTTGCCAACAAAAGATTCGGCGTTGGTAAATTTAATATGGTGAGGGGGAGCAACAGTCAATGTGCAGAGAGTACTACAAAGAATATCAAAACTTGAGAACTTTAAGGGACCTACCACATCTCATCTTCAAACACTTCACTTGACAGACAGGAGAACTTCAAATTAGAAAGGGCACAATGTCACATGGAGTCATTGGCAAAACCACTGCTAGAGTCCAGGCTTCCATGATTCCCAGTCCAGGGCTCTTATCATTAAATTACACAGCCTCCCTTCTTTCCTGGGAGGCACTGCAGGCATGCCATCCCCCTGCCAAGATAATCAACCCCCAAGAGCCCCTCCTCCCATCCCAGTCCCTCCTACAGCCCAGCTGAGTTGCAGCTCAAATTAGCAAGTCCTGGAGCAGGGGGCATTTCTGGGAAGGTGCCCAGTCTGAGGGTTGCTGGTACTGAAGAGGAGGGACAAGGACGGAGAAGGAGGTGACATCCCACAAAGGGTTTGAGAGAACTGGGTCCTAGGGGCAGTGGCGGCGAGCCTGCTGGGCTGGATAAGGGCACATGCAGTGGCATCTCCCAAAGGGCAAGGGGGAAGCAGACCAGCAGTTGGCACCACCTCTAGGAGCAAAAGGAAGGGCTGAGTCCTGATGGGCAGGGAAGCCTGGAGCATCTCCGAGTCCAAGTTGGGCCTCAGGGGCGCCTCCTGGCAGAGTGGCACTGGCGACCGTGAGGTGGCACCATTGTCCGGGAAGAGGCCCGAGGACACAGATGCCCTCCGTAGGATGGCACTGGCACCCAGCGGAGGCCCAGCCCTCCCGTGAGGTGGCACCGGCGCCCAGAGAAGGCCCGACGACCAGGATGCCCAGCCCTCCCGTGGGGTGGCACCGGCGCCCAGCGAAGGCCCAACGACCAGGATGCCCAGCCCTCCCATGAGGTGGCACTGGCACCCGGCGAAGGCCCTGTGACCAGGATGCCCAGCCCGCTCGTGGGGTGGCACCCGCGCATGGCGGAGGCCCAGCCCGCTCCTGAGGTGGTACCGGCGCCCGGCGGAGGCCCACAGTCCTCACCAGCCGGATCAGCTGCCGCCGTCGCCCAGCCTCCCGCCCCACACGCAGCCTTACCGAGGCACTGCCCCACTGGGGTGCTGAACGGGTTCCCCAGGAGGAACTCCATCTTGGGTGGACAACACGCAGCAGCCCGGGCCCCCTGTCTGCCACCGAGATCTCCTCTGTATCCCGCCGGGATCCAGTCCTGACTGACACTTGCCCCCTCCCCACCCTCTGGAACGCCGAGGGCCAGGTCCCCTAGCCCCGCCCTCTTGCCGAGTCTTTATTGGGGGACACCTACAAAGCCCGCGTCCGATTGGCCGCTACACCTTCGTCAGCAAAGCCCCACCTACCCCGCAGCGACCGATTGGGCCGACAACCTAGCTAGGTCAGCGCAGTCCCTGTCAGCCGTGGCGGCACCTCCCCTGGCCCGCCCCCGAAGAGGAAGCTGTGCATTTTGATTCATCTGTATTTTGGTCAATCTAAAGGATCCTTACTATTATTGGACAAAAGATGAGTCAATCATCCAGAAAGGAGGACGGAAGAGAGGTGAATCTAGGAATATCCCCGCCCATAGAAAGTACTGATTGGAGAAACGTTTGTTTTCTCTACGGCTGGTTGGTGTAAGGAGTGTTTTCCCACCCGGAGATGTGGTCACGTGATCTGTCAACTTTCACCCTGGAAGTCTCCCTACTGACTTTCCCCTTAGCAACCAAGTCGCGGTGCTTGGTTCCCCAGCAACCGGGAGACGCGTCTGCTGCGTGGAACCAACCGAATTTCCAACGCTTGAGGTGAGACCTGGGAGCTGAGGCTCCGAGAGGACTCGCAGGGACAGATAGTGCCCGACAACTCACTCCTGTGACCTTTTTGTCTGAAAACGCCGGCCCGGCCCTTCTCATTTATAAATTGAGCACGTAGGTCCTCTCCCAGGCACTTTACAGTGCAGCTGAGACAGCCAAGACACTTTAGTCCTGGGCTTGTCAAGCTTTTGAATAAAAAAGAATACTAAGGGAGCATTTCCGGAGGGAACAGGGCCAGAATGGATTAAGGGGTTCCGTCTTCCGGCCTCCTTTCATAGAAAGAGGGGTACCCGGTCCACCGATAACTTCTTCCAGAATTTAACTGTCATATCTGACCTTATAACTATCAAATGATTTCATCTTGGTACTGTATAAAGTGCTTTGGATGTGAATACGGCTCCTCAGGTTCCTTCCATATTTGTCTCTCCCAGTAACTCATTGTATGACTTTGGACAAGTTCCTTTCCCTCCCTGGAGCCTCCGGTTCCCTAGCTGGGAAATAAGGACATTAGGACTCCCTTTTTTATGGCCTCTGCAGCTTACATGTACTTAAATAATGCCTGTGCACTGAATACACAATAAGCATTCAGTACATGATTTTCTTCTTTTGAAACAAAAATTTTTCATTATTTATTTTTAAAAACAGAGACAGGGTCTTGCTATGTTGCTCAGGCTGGTCTTGAACTCCTGAGTTCAAGCAGTCGTCCCACCTCAGCCTCCCAAAGTGCTGGAATTACAGGTGTAAGCCATCTCACCCAACCAATTTTCTTCTTATTAATTCATGGCCAGTAGGGACTATGGTATTCAGACCCTGTTGACCCCAGGTTATTGTTGCCCAGGAAAATTCTAGATCTGTTCTCTGCGAGGAGGCCGCTCCATTGACAATTGTGTAAAACTCTGCTGCTTTCCCCAGCTCCTACGTCTCTAGTCTTCAACAACACTATCATAAGGCAAGTCAAAGGGACCCAGGTTGGTGATAAACTACTAAGATCCCCATGGAGAGCTTTTTGGGCCTTGGCCCTGAGTCCAGGACAACTGTGAGAAACATTGTGAGCTGTGGCAATGATATCCCCAGTACCCTCAGTTGATTCATGATTAGGAAATGGACTCCGCCATATGCTAAGCTTATGAAGTTGGGCATGTTAATTAATTAACCTTTCTTTTTTTTTGTTTTTGCTACCATGCCCTTTATTAAAAATAGGAGTATGAGCATGAGAACAAGCATAACATTTTTAAAGCAAGAGATGGTAAAGGGAAAAATAATTTCAGCACTGTGCTCCAGATCAGTGTGGCAAAAAAACAAATCAACAGATACTCCCAAGCAGCTGAGTCTGCAGGAGAGAAGCTGGTGGCAAAGACTCCAGCATTGCCTTAGCATCAGCCACAAAAGTTCAATTCACCAGAAACAGGAAGCCCCTGCCTTACCTTAATGCCCACAGCAGGAGACCAGGTAAAGCGCCAGTCAATT